TGTGTTTCGCAAGTGTGTGTCAATGGTGTGTTCCGGAGATTATTTACGCCGGTGTGTTTCGAAGGTTTGTTTTTGGAGTGTGTTTCGTTGGTGTGCCTCAGTAGCGTGCTTCGAAGGTGAGTTTAAGATGTTAGTTTTGATGGTTGGCTGCAGAGGAGTGTTTCAAAGCTATTTCTCGTAAGGATCTTTTGGATTTGGGCTTCGCAGGTGTATACCCACCTTTGAATGCCAACATATTGCAAAGAGGTGTTGCAAGTGGTGTGTTTCCGAGGTGGACCTAAATTCTGCGACACACCACGTGGTGTTGCGTATAAAGGTGATACAAAGATGAGATGTGTTGACATTGACATGTGGCTAGACGAGTTGGTGCTATGGTGACCAAATAATGGTTGATGCAGATGTGTGGCGGTGAGTGTGTACAGCGGAGATTCATGATGACCATGCCACTTAAAGTGTGATATGGTTATGAGATACCGAGATGTGAATCTGTAGGTTCTAGCCGTTGCATTAAAGAGCTAATATGTGAGGAAGGTAATCACTTTTCCCAACCTCAGGATTACTTAAATTTCATTTCAGTTAGAGCAACAACGACAACTAAACTTCTTTTTGTTAGGGTTATATTAAATTTAGCATCTTTATGATTCTAGTTATGACATAAAACATCATAAAAGACACTAAACATCCGGATTTTTGTGTACCCCTCATGACAATCATAGCCCTGATGAATATAATTGCAGTCAAAATATACCATTTTCAGATTTAATTGAATTCCTAATGGCAGTGACCACATACATCCCAGACCAAACTTGGATACAAACGCCAACTTATTCACATTTTGAGCACTTTCGGTTTCAATGATGCGAGAAACAATCCAGTTTAATGGGTTCTGATGTTACTTAAAGTCCTGCCAATCACCAGATTTAGCTGTACCTTTGCTCTACATCGAGTTTTAAATAAATAAATAAATATATATATATTTAGAGAGAGAGAGAGAGAAATAAGGAAAGAAAGAAGGATAGTTAGTTAGTTAGAGGGAGGCATCAATTCGTGAGTCATTCGTAAGAATGGGACACTGAAATGACATTTCTGCATACGGTGCTCTTGAAGATCGAGAATCAGGCTAGATTTTGTTCTTAACCTTTTGAAGATGAATTAGACTTTGTTTAATCGAAGGTATGAAGACAAAGAATGTGTGGCCTTCTGTATGGCCGCAGTTTTCTCTCAATGTGTAGAAGTGGACTGACCTCGTTTTCACAACCTGGTCGTGTTGTCAGGGCGACGTAATTGGACGTACTTTGTCCGAAGCCCTTTGCTATAATAATCAACTTAATTCCACGTGTTGGGGTGTGGACTTGGTACATTCCCAGACGTTTCGCTAGCAAGTTGCGAAAACGAGGTCAGTCCACTTTTATGAACCAGTCTTGTTCACGTGCTCTAGAGAGCCGCGAAAATGCCTAACATTTGTCAACGTTGTACTCCTAATTGTCGACAAGACTACGCGGTTATGCCTGAGTTTAAGCTGCTGTCACGGAGTCCAGCCGCTAGTGTCACCGAGACCAGAAGTGGATCGGATATAAAGTCTGCATTTAGTGCGCCATGGAGCTGTGAAATGTAACGGCATCTTCAGGCCGCTTCTCAACATTGTTTGTTGCCAGAACAGTTGAAATGTCACACATTTTTGATGAGTGCTTTTCGCTCGTGCGAAAATGGATTCGACTGAATAAACTCTTATGCAGTCTCGCCAAGCCTCGATAATATGAGACTGTGAAGCAGGACATGTGGTACTCTATTTTGGTAGATGTCTCGTAGACTCTAGCGAGGGTAAAAGGCAATCGCCAATCCTAGTGCATGTCTTCGAGTCTCATCAATACGCCTCTGCCACTTGTGCCCTCCCGACTGCTAAGGGGTGCTTCTCGGCTATTTGGCATAGCAACGACCTATTGGCAGACTGCGCGATCTACCGGTTTGTGGCAACTCTGGCCGGTTGCGAGGTCGAGTTCAGCATGATCGAGTTAGAGTTGAGTTGTAGCTTTGAGGGCATATTTTCATGATTTGTGCGATAAGTTGGTTTGCACAATGGGTGCGAAGTGAAAACGTTCACAGCTAAACTGGAGGGCAAAGCGCGATTTGTGTAACTTGTGAAAAGGCCATCTTGTCTCGGTCGTGCAGAAGACGAACATCTCTTCTGCCCTCGGAAGAGAGCGTATGCAATGGCCGATGAGCGTCATCAAAACGGCCTACGAATTGCCGCTTCCTGCGGCTGCAAGACTTGCCTACAGACGTCAACGTTGGCCTCCGATCTGCTGCCCACCCCCATTTGGCCCAAACTGTCCAGAGTCCACAGAACAGGTCGGCCGAGCCGCGGCATCAGTCGCACCAATTGGCCGCAGGCGATTGGTCGACTTCTCCTTTCACTCAGACCGCAGTCGGCCAATCAAACGGCTCTACCAGCTCGCATGCGCAGGCGATCGCTGTCGCGTGCATCTCGTGGCCTATCGGCCTGACAAAGTCGGCTTTGCGCATCAGCCTCACTCTGCCTGCGACTGGCAGACAGGCGCACAGAGCCCCACAGACGGCCAGGCCGAGACTGGCAAGCCGCCGGACCAACCAACAGCCGCATTCGCCCAACCGGCTCGTTGAGCCGCGCGCGCCTGCCTCGAGCTGGGCCGACGGATGCGCGGCTGCGTCAAGGCGCAGACACTCAGGCCGCCACTGACAGGCGTGTCGCGCGCGCATGCACGAGCGCATCGGCGGCGCGCCTCGGCACGCATTGCCGCACTCGCGGCCTCGTGTGCACGCATGCAGGCAGACAGCGGCGGAAAACACTGCCTCCAGCACTCAGCGGCATCGTTCCTCGTGGGCTCAACGCCTCAGGGAAGTTTTGGAGCGGAAACTTGAGAAGTGTGCCTCGCAAGTACAACATTCGTCCTCGAGGCGAAATGTGGTGAACTTGTGCATCACGGAGTCTGACGCGATTCTGCTCCGGGCCGTCAACAAAGACGAAAGGAACTAACCGACACAATGCAACAGGTAATTCTCCTCCTTTGAATGTGTAAAACAGCCGTTATAAGTTGGCCCGAGCTTTGACGAAGGCTCAGGCAAGCCGAAGCCAGCCAGTCAGCCGGCCAGCCGGCCAGCCAGCCAGCCGAGCAGGATTGAGGCAGGCGAATGAGACAGAATAACAACACTGAGCTTCAGATCGTCTTCACCTGGTCACCGGATTCTGCGACGAATCGACCGGACACTTTGCGTCCTACACATTTTGGTGTGATTTGGTCTAAAGTCGTCGTCATCGCCGTCGCCATTGTCCTCGTCTGCCGGACATGGCGTGAACATTTTCGGCATTCCGTTTGCCGACGATCAGCTGTTGCCGGGCAAAGTGATGCGTTGTCGGCAAGCCGATTATCGACCAATTGTAGGTCACTTTGAGGAGGGTGCAAAAGTGTCGCCAGTCGAAAAGTGCCAGTTCAACCGACCGGCAGGGTACAGGCAAGAGCAGATGGTACTGCGAAGATATCGCACGAGTTTCTGCCAACTCTGCAGCGTAAAAATTGTCACTATGACAACCAAGATGTTTTGAGCGTTGACTTGAGTGTAGTCAGTTGCTGTTGAGTTGACCGCGTTTGCGTCGTTGTCATCGTCTGTCCTGGAAAGCATGGCCATTTCCGACCTCCTCGCAGTGACTTGGCACCCTCCGAGTTGTTTGTCAGGCGGCAGTATCATCTTCGAAGTGATCGACAATTGGTCAGGCGGCGAGGTGTGCCAAATCAAATTGACATGTTGTTGGCATGTCGATCATTTCAACAAGCGTTGTGGAGGCTATCATGTCGACGAAATATGGCAAACCACGACGACGACGCAGTAGGAAGCGCCTTCTTCACGGTTGCTCTGGCAACACGACGAAGTGGCGAAAACCAGGTTAAACCAGTCTAGGCTACGGGTTGACAGGAGGACGCAGAGCAGACAGAAGCCACCGACTGTTGGGTCTGTTGGTGTCTTTATGCTACCACTTGCCCTTGATTGTAGTCAGCCCGCTTGTTGAAAAGGCAATTTTCTTTCGGTAAAACATTACACTTTTGCCCCGATCGTCAAGGCGATGCAGACGAGCAGGTCCACTTTATCTGTGCCGATTTGTAGACACGATGCAGTAAAAACAGACAGACAGACAGAGAGAGAGAGAGAGTAAAACGACAACTCGCAAAAAGGGGGTGACGAGAACTGAGTTTGAGACAAACGGACACTTCCTTTGTACCGAGACGGACAAACTGCACAAACGAGCCGGACAGTGCCCTAATGCTCAAGTACTGCCAGACTAGAGTTCTGTTGTCATGACGACCAAAAGTGCGATGACACCACAATTAGTCTAAAATTCGCCTTCTCTGGCGCTCACCTCAAGACTTGTTCGTGTGTGCATGCATGTGTGTGGGAGTACGCAAGCTTCGGGCACCAGTCGCGCCCGCTCTGGAAGGGGACATGGAACATTTGTGTCCGATTCAAGCGATGAAACCGGCTCAAGGCATTGGGCTGCAGAAGAGACGACTGTTGAGGTGAATGTGCTGTTTTTCTACCCGCCGTGTTGCCAGGTCATGGAAAGATCGGAAATCCGGATCAACCCATTGCCAAGCTGGGCTCAGAATGTGAACTGTGCGTCATAAATCCGCAAACACTTCTGTCATGGCAACCAATCAACCGCCGAAAGAATACAAAGTTTGTAGATGGGACGATGAAGATTGTGTGGCCACAACGGTTGAACGGAAAACCGGTCAAATGGATTGCTTTCAACTGTCACTTTGATATGATGTAAGTCTGTACCAAGGATGACTCTCTCAGTGGCGATGCCAACGAAGCGTCTTGGAATGTACTTCTTCATGAATACTCTGGCAGAGGAGGGAGAACTAGATAAGTTCGGCAAGGTCTCTCTGAAACTCCGACCAAGTTGTGAAAACGAGATTAGACCGACACAATACGAAGTTATTTTATACCGGCTGAGGTGACTGGTGAGGCGACGAGATAATTTCGAAGAGGAGGCTGCCTGTAATTTTGTAGAGAAAAATGCGGCCGTGTCAACTGCAGCAACCAGACTCAACCGGTTGCCTTGACGACAATCGCTATGAAAGACTCGTGCTTAGCATCAGTTCGGCCATCACTAAGGCCCATCATCACCGGTTCTGTTGAAGCATGTGTCCAAAATCGAAAAGATGAGTCTCAAAAAGCCCTTCACGTTCGTCTCGCGTTTGACGCCGGCATTTGCGAGTCGAGACCAAAATGGCGCGAATGTCGTGGAGGCAGTCTTCGACCCGAAACAGCCAACGAAGTCTCTTCGTACAGACAGATTAAGACTTTCATTGCTCACATACTTCGATGCGCCAACAGGTCTCACACACTCTCCAGCTTCTCACAATTGCGCAACCTACATTTTAGACCATCCATTTTCATCCATTTAAATGGCGCACAAGGGGTAGGTGGGTGACAGAGACACAGTTTTATGCAATTTCGCCTTATCAAAAGTGAAAGTTGACGTGTGTGTTGGAGACGAAAAAGGCGCCAGAGCCTCAAACCATGTTCGTGGACTGTCTTCGACGACGAATCGGCCGACAGAGAAGCTAAACAGATTCTGACGCCAGTTTCACTGAATTGTAAATGTCGACTCTCAGTGTTGCCAGTGCAACAACATTCGTCTACAACGGTCTCGAAAAGGTGGTAGATTAGTTCGAATATCCTCTTCAAGTAGGATATGGCAACAATGCCCATATGCGAATTTTTATACGTACAAGTTTTGAGGCTGACAGTCGTTTTTACGTTACCGTTGTCCAGTCACGCGCCAGCATGAGGCGAATTCGAATCCAGTTTAGGCTACCGGCGCAACGGTGTGGGAAGAATGAAAATGCACTTTAGTCGAGTCGAGATGGGAGACCGGGCCAAGTGATAGTTAATGGTGCCCTGGGGCTTAATCGTGCGAATTGAGAAAAGACACTACTTTGGGTCTTTCAGGCATCTGAATCGGCCTAAACGAGGCAGAAGAAGAGTCGATTGTGACAAAAGGCTGGACAGATTGGGCTTTTGCTTAAGTTCGCAGATGAACTACTCACATACTACTGATACAAAAAAAACTGTTTTGCTACCAGCAGAGGACGGAGAGACAATACGAGGCAAAAGTGAGTGGTAAGATGTTGAAATGGACCATTTTTATTTGATGCATCAATTAACAATAAGTGACCAATCTCTGCTGCTTGGCCCTGCACACATTCACTTGCCCTTTTTCAGTGTCACAAGACCTACGAAGCAGCTACCTCGGAAGCGGATCTCAATCTCTACGGCCCTCTTGACGACGACCCGATCCAAGACTTCCAGCCGCCATACTTTCCACCTCCGCCTCCGCCCTACCATCCTCACCTCCATTCCCATCCTCACTCCCATCCCCATCCCCAGCCTCACACTCATCCGCATCCCCAACCCCATCTACATGCCCATCTTCATGCCCAATCGCATCACATGCATCAAATGCCCCATTTGCACCAGGCTCCACCACCACCCCATCTACAGCCCAACCTGCCGGTGCACCATTCGTCGGCTCCGCTCGTACATGCTGTCGGACCGTTTGCCGCCGGTCTCTTCGCCCACCCCTCGACACTGTCGACGTCGTCGGACGCAGTCGGCAATGCTGCCAGTCTCATGGCCAACTCCATGGCAACCGGAGTCATTGGTCTTAATAGGCACGATCAGATGCAGACCCATCTGACTGGACTGAGCCTACACACAGACATCGTGTCGTCAGGGCGACGTACAGAGCGTATCGGCGTCTCGTTGTCCGGTCAGCCGGTCTCGTATTCTGGCCACTTCTTTACCGGACCGTCCACGTCGGTCGGCTATCCCCAGAGCTTAGGACTCGAATACGAGACCGCCAGCAATGCCTATCGTCTGCGTCAGGCCCCGAGACCGCTCGAGGGACAGACGAGCCCTAGCTCCGACCCCGGCGCACCAGCCCTCGAAACGCGCAGTGCCTATGCCAACTCGAACTCGAACTCGAACACAAACTCGAATTCCAACTCAAACCAGAGCTCAACTTTAAAGTCAAACGCAAACTCGAACTCCGATTGGCTCGCCTCGCATCTGATGGCAGCCGGCCAGGTCAGTGGTCAATTCTTTACAGATTCAACGGTCACCTGTAACAGCAGCATCAACATCATCAACAATAGCAGCAGTAGTAGTAGCGCTGGTGGGATGAGGACGGCATCACCGATCACTTCTTTTGCCTCGAATGCCTCCGGACGCGACCAGCAACTTCACGACATCCCGAGCCTACAGAAGACCACCACCACCACCACCACCTCTTCCGTCTCCTCCGCCTCGTCCTCACAACAGACATCACCGCCACCACCATCGTCACCCGCGCCAACATGCGTTATCGCCACGGCAGAAGCGACTGTATCCACAGTCGGACGACTCGAGGCGGGAGCAGGGCGACAGACTTTCTTCTGTCCCGCATCCGAGACGACCCGAGACGCCAGACACACACTGCACGGCCAGTCTCATGCCG